TAAACATTTGTTATGTGTTAATACATATATCTTGACAATAAAATTAAAAAACTTAGAAATTTAACATTTACTTATGTGTGTGTTAATACACACATCTTGATCAGAAAATAATAAAATTAGTTGTGCAAACTTAAAAAGGAAAAATTTCCAGAAAGAAACTCGAAAATTTTAATATTTTCTTGTGTGTGTGTTAATACACACATCTTGACAAGAATTTTTTTTTAAAAAAACACAAAAATTTATCATTTTCTTATGTGTGTGTTAATACACACATCTTGGTAGAAAAATTATAAAACTCAAAATTTTAATATTTTTTGTTTGTGTGTTCGTATACATATATTGATAAAAAAAATAAAAAAATCCAAACTTTAACATATTTTTGTGTGTGTGTGTGTTAATAAACATATCTTGACAAGAAAATTATATAAAACTTGAAAATATAACATTTTCTTGTGTGTGCTTATACACACATCTTGTCAAGAAACTTAGAAAACTCAAAAATTTAATAGTTTTTATGTGTGTGTTAATATACATATATTAACAAGAAAATAAATAAAAACTTGTTTTCTTGTGTGTGTGTGTTTTAATACACATATTTTGGTAATAAAATAAAATAATTCCAAAATTCAATATTTTTGGGTGTGTATGTATGTTAATACACATAATATGACTAGAAAATTAAAAACAAACTCGAAAATTTAACATTTTCTTGTGTTGTGTTAATACACATATCTTGACAAGAAAGTATAAAAAACTCAAAAAGTTAACATTTTCTTTTGTGTGTGTTAATACTCACTTCTCGGCAAGAAAATTAAAAAATTCGAAAATTTAATATTTCTTGTGTGTGTGTTAATACACACATCTTGACAAAAAAATAAATAAAATAGACCCATGAACTTAAGAAGGAAAAATTCCTTGAAAAAGACCCGAAAATTTAACATTTTCGTGTGTGATACACATCTTGGCAAAAATATTATTAAATATGAAAATTTAACATTTTCTTGTGTGTGTGTTAATACACACATCTTCACAAGAAAATTTGAAAAACTCAAAAATATAACATTTTCTTGTGTGTGTGTTAATACACACATCTTCACAAGAAAGTTTAAAAAACTCAAAAATTTAACATTTTTATTTGTGTGTGTGTTAATTCACACATCTCGGTAAGAAAAATTAAAAAACTAGCAAATTTAACATTATTTTGTGTGTGTTAATACACATATCTTGACAAGAAAAATTAAAAATTCAGAAATTTAACATTTTATTGTGTGTGTGTTAATACACACATCTTGACAAGAATATAAAAAAAATTAGTCATGCAAACTTGGAAGGAAAAAGTTTCCTAAAGAAAGTCGAAAATTTAGCAGTTTCTTGTGTGTTTCAATACACACATCTTGGCAAAAAAATTAAAAAATTTAAATATTTAACATTTTTTTGTGTGCATGTGTTAATACACAGATCATGATTAGAAAATTAAAAAAATTTAACATATTTAGTATGTGTGTTAGTAGACATATTTTGACAGAAAAATTAAGAAAACTCAGAAATTTAACATTATTTTGTGTATGTATTAATACACACATCTTCGTATGAAAACTAAAAAACTCGAAAATTAAACATTTTTTGTGTGTGTTTTAATACACATATCTTGACAAAACAATTAAAGAAAAACTTGAAAATAAAACATTTTCTTGTGTGTGTTAATACACACATCTTGGCAAAAAAAAATTAAAAAACTACAAAACTTAATATTTTTTGTTTGTGTCTTAATACACGTATCTTGTGTGTGTGTTAATACACATATCTTGACAAGAAAAACTAAAAACCTCGCAAATTGAACATCTTTTGTGTGTGTTAATACACATATTCTGACAAGAAATTTTAAAGAAAACTCAAAAACTTAGCATTTTCTTGTGTGTGTTAATACATACATCTTTGCAAGAAAATTAAGAAACTCGGAAATTTAATTTTTAGTGTGTGTGTGTTAATACACATATCATGACAAGAAAATTAAAACAAAATCGAAAATATAACATTTTCTTGTGTGTGTATTAATACACACAACGTGGCAAGAAAAATTAAAAAAAACTCGCAAATTTAACATATTTTTGTGTGTGTTAATACGCATATCTTGACAGAGAAATTTAAAAACTCAGAAATTTAACGTTTTCTTGTGGGTTTGATAATAATACACAAATCTTGACAAAAAAAATAAAGAAATTAGTCCTGCAAACTTAAGAAGGAAAAAATCTTGGAAAGAAACTCGAAACTTTAACATTTTCTTGTGTGTGTGTATGTTAATACACATATCTTGGCAAGAAAATTAAAAAAAAATTGAAAATTTAACATTTTGTGTGTGTGTGTGTGTGTGTGTGTGTGTGTATGTGTGTGTGTGTGTGTGTGTGTGTGTTAACACACACATCTTGAAAAGAAAATTGAAAAAACTAAAAAAAATTAACATTTTCTTCTGTGTGTGTTAATACACACATCTTGACAAGAAAATTAAAAAATACAAAAACTTAACATTTTTGTGTATGTGTATGTGTGTGTGTGTGTGTATGTGTGTGTGTGTGTGTGTTAGTACACATATATTGACAAGAAAATTATGAAAACTCAAAAATTTAACATTTCTTGTGTTCGGTGTTAATACTCACATCTTGGCAAGAAATATTAAAAAAATTTGTAGATTAAACATTTTTTATGTGTTAATACACATATCTTGACAATAAAATTGGAAAACTTAGAAATTTAACATTTACTTATGTGTGTGTTAATACACACATCTTGATTAGAAAATAATAAAATTAGTCCTGCAAACTTAAAAGGGAAAAATTCCCTGAAAGAAACTCGAAAATTTTAATATTTTCTTGTGTGTGTTAATACACACATCTTGACAAAAAAAATTAAAAAACTCAAAAATTTAACATATTTTTGTGTGCGTTAGTACACATACTTTGATAAGAAAATTAAAAAAACTCAAAAATTTAACATTTTCTTTTGTGTGTGCCAATACACACATCTTGGCAAGAAAATTAAAAAACTCAAAAATTTAACATTTTCTTGTATATGTGTTAATACACACGTCTTGGCAAGAAAATAAAAAAACTATAAAATTTAATAATTTGTGTGTGTGTGTGTTAATATACATATCTCGACAAAAAATTAAAAAGAAACTCGAAAATTTAACATTTTCTTGTGTATGTGTTAACACACATATCTTGACAAGAAAAATTAAAAACCTCGCAAATTGAACATTTTTTTTATGTGTTAATACACATATCTTGACAAGAAATTTTTTTAAAAAAAACTCAGAAATTTAGCATTTTCTTATGTGTGTGTTAATACATACATCTTTACAATAAAATTAAAAAAATCGAAAATTTAACTTTTTTCCGTGTGTGTTAATACACATATCAGGACAAGAAAATTAAGAAAAATTGAAAATATAACATTTTCTTGTGTGTGTTAATACACACAACTTGGCAAGAAAAAAATTAAAAACTCACAAATTTAACATATTTTGTGTGTGTTAATACGCATATTTTGACAGAAAAAATTTAAAACTCTGAAACTTAACGTTTTCTTGTGGGTGTGATAATAATACACAAATCTTGAGAAAAAAATAAAGAAATTATTCATGCAAACTTAAGAAAGAAAAATTCTTGGAAAGAAACTCGAAACTTTAACATTTTCTTGTGGATGTGATAATAATACACAAATCTTGAGAAGAAAATAAAGAAATTAGTCATGCAAACTTAAGAAGGAAATATTCTTGGAAAGAAACTCGAAACTTTAATATTTTCTTGTTCGTGTGTTAATACACACATCTTGGCAAGAAATTAAAAAAATTGAAAATTTAACATTTTCTTGTTTGTGTGTGTGTGTGCGCGCGTGCGTGCGTGCGTGCGTGCGTGCGTGCGTGTGTGCGTACGTGCGTGTGTGCATGCGTGCGTGCGTGCGTGTGTGTGTGCGTGCGTGTGTGCGTGCGTGCGTGTGTGTGTGTGCGTGCGTGTGTGTGTTGTGTGTGTGTTAAATGCGCATAACTTGACAAGAAAATTAAAAAAATTATGTGTGTTAATACACACATCTTGACAAAAAAAATTTGAAAATTTAACAATTTTGTGTGTGTTAATACACACATCTTGACAAGTTTAATAAAAAAACTCGCAAATTTAACATTATTTTGTGTGATCTTAACAAGAAAATTTATCAATTCAGAAATTGAACATTTTCTTGTGTATATTAATACACACATCTTGAGAAGAAAATTAAAAAAAAATAAGTCGTGCAAACTTGGAAGGAAAAATTTCCTGAAAGACACTCGAAAATGTAACAGTTTCTTGTGTGTGTGTTAGTTAATACATACATCTTGACAAAAAAATTAAAAAATTCGAATTTTTAACATTTCCTTGTATGTTTGTTAATACACACATCTTAACAAGAAAATTCAAAAAATTTAAAAATTTAACATTTTTCTCTGTGTGTGTGTTAATACATATATTTTGGCAAGAAAATTGAAAAACTTGGAAATTTAACATTTACTTATGTGTGTGTTAATACACACATCTTGATCAGAAAATAATAAAATTGGTTTTGTTTACCAAAAAAAAGAAGAATATATGTAGTTTGGTTTATGGATGAATGTTGTTGGTCGAGAAGCCAATGGTTCGATGTATCCGAACCGAGAAAACAATATTTAAAAAAGAATTATCCACAGCGAGGCGAGAAAAGGGAAAAAGAAATGTAGAGTCCAATGTCCTTGTCTGGTTTTCAACCACGTCATCTTTAACAGGTCGGACGAGAGAGAGAGAGAGAGCAAAGGAAGGATAGATATGTAAGAAAGATTGTTACCGCATCGGCCTTCGAAAAGGTGGACCAAGTCGGAGAGAGAGAAAGCGAGAGCAGAGGGAGATGATCTTTCTTTGATTTTTGTTTGACAATTTTTTTGAAAACGAGATTTTTTGTGGGTTCCCTCCGACGAGAGTCTGTCTGGTGGAGATATGGCCGGAACTGAAGATGATGATCGTAACCACCGCCGGGGTTCTGGCCGATCGGTGGACTCCGCCGCAGATAACGGTGGATGTGTCCCTGGAAAACGCGGGAACGAGGATTCTTCGTCTCCTGTTGAAGTCTCATGCTCGATTTGCCTGGAATTGGTGGTCGACGACGGTACCAGATCCAGGGCGAAGCTCCAATGTGGTCACGAATTCCATTTGGGTATTTCAATCAAACTTTCCTTGCTTCGTTTCTTCTGGGTTTGTTGGAATCTTTGGGGATTTTGCATTTCTTCCGTCAGGATCGCTAATCTGCCTTCGTTTGATCCAGTTTCTGGTCTCGGATCCAATTCAAAGCCATAATATAATCATTAGTGTAACTTTCTGATGAATAATCCATGGCTTGCTTAGCCTTACCCTTCGGATTAGCTAGTCCCCCTTTTTTTTTTTTTGGTCAAACAGCTAGTCCCCTCTTTATGCATTAAGATTTAGACGACGATATCCCAAGTGAGATTTCGAATCAACATTATCATTATCATATATACTAGAATATAGAGAAGCATCAGGATGTGGGTAGTGGATCGGTTTCTTCTTGCTGTGTAGAGCTGTATGGTTTGCAAGTTTCTCTATTGATATGGCCTTTGTTGCTATATATTGCTTTAGCTTTAGTGCCATATTTTTGGGTGGGTTTCTTGCAGATTGCATTGGATCGGCGTTTAACATGAAAGGAGCCATGCAATGCCCTAACTGTCGGAGTGTCGAAAAGGGTCAGTGGTTGTTTGCAAGTGGGTCTGCTCGCCCTTTTCCAGAGTTGGATTGGATCCCCGAGGAAGATTTGTATGCCTTCACTTATCCGGAAATGGTAAAAGCTCCACTTCTTTGTGCCCCCATATGCTTTCGTTTCCTGTACGTGACAACTGTGCTTTTACCCCTTTGTGAGATCGTTTATCCTAAAATCTTGTCGTGCTTGCAGCAATATCGGGTCCATTGGTGCCCGTTTGGTGAACTCTCTCAAGCAGCTTCTTTCGAGTAAGCGCACACCTTTACCATGATCTTTGCTACTTCCTTGAAACCCGAATGCTTGAATTGACTTACACCATCATATCTCCATAATTGTTTCGATGATTTTGCTGTGTGTTTCAGGGAACTGGAACCTGCAACCGCTACATGTAAGTCAGGCGCTGATTGATTGATTCTTCTCTCTGTATGATCATGCAAACCGTTGATAGTGTTAAATGGCAATTTTTCTATTGTCTTCCTTAGATCATAATGAGTTCCATGGACACCACGCCGCTGCTGTGAATCATTCATATCTTGCGTACGTTGGACCAGGCCCAGCCGCTACTCTGACAAGTGGCGATGACAGCAATAGCACAGATGACCATCCCTGGAACAGCCACTCTAACGACCACTTTCGCCAGCTGGCTGTTGCTCCCCAGTATCATCATCATCATCATCATCATCATCATTCCCCATCGTTTTCTCTACCCGGTGCTCATGTGCTTGATGGTGAAGTCGACTCTTCAGCAGCACAGGGCATATCTCATCCGCACCCTTTTGTCTTTAGTTATCGGTTAGCTTCTCGAGCTCGATACTGCTCTCAACTTTTTTGCAGCAAGTTTTTTGAATGTTGTTTGGATTTTGGGCAATGTAGGCCTAATCCAAGAACCTCACCAGCAATTAACGCTCACCAAGGAAGCAGCACCCAAATGCGTGAACACCTTCACACCCAAAATCATGTTTTTAATCATCAGAGGCCACCACACCATGCTAATGGCCCCAATCTAGCACCGCCTCTCGTCTCCGTGACAAGAAGGGGATTACCGCCGCCGCCGCCGCCGCCGCCTATGCCAGATCAGAACGTCGGATTCTTCATTTATCCACCAGCGAACTCACCAGGTGGGCACCGTGAACCAGAAACTGATCAGTTTCATGCTTGGGAGAGAGATTGGTTTCCACATTTCCCTGTCCCGTCGAATCACCGCACGGTCTCTAGCTTCTGGCACAGACACTTCTGAGGTAAGGGAAATTGTGTGTAAGTCGCCTGGAAGAATTCAATCAGGCAGTGTATAAAAGAAAACTGGAGACTTGTTTGATCGATCAGAACTTGTTTATGATGTAACTATAACTGGTTCCTAATGTACATTGTGAGATTTCCAAGAGCCGTTGTTGTTAAACAGAAGGTTTCTTGCCAAAATTCTAGCCACTTGAGTTTCCTGGTTGGATGGAGTTAAACTGAATAAATGTTGCAGATATCAACAATTTTAGGAGAAAAGAGTACATGTCTCAAGGTATGTTGGAACTCAAAGTCGAGAGACAATGAACAAGAAGAGAAAACATAACATAATTCGATGGAAACTGCAAACTGAACAACAACAATCAAAGCGTTTTGAGAATCTGTTTTGAACGACCACATACAAAATCTTGCATGAACCTTATTTATTCTTGTCAGGAAGCGGGTGAAGACGCAAAGTTGGAGGAGGAGTGTTGACTAGCGATGGGTATGAGTGTCATCCCCGCCTTCTTCAACTTTCCTCGAGGCTGCTCTTAGTTTACGCTGCTCCTCCTTGTATATCCTGTTTCTTCTTTGAAACTGTAACATGGTACACAAACACACATGCCTCAATATGAGCCCAATAACGAACCAACTGTTGTCACTACTGCATGTAAAGAAACCACTGCTCATTACTGACACAAGTGAAACAAGCAAGAGCGCACGTGAAAGGTATTATCTTCCACAGCACAATGCCAAATCGAAGAAGATGTGGAGCTGATTCTAAGCTCAGTGAAGATATATAATTTCACAACTAGAGGAGGAAAGGAACCAGTATTACAATCAATGTCAGTCTATATAATAGAATCTAGCAGTTAACCATGGCGAATTATTTTGCAGGCATATATTCAAAGTAACCCAGAATCGTATCCATTTCGCACGAACTGATCTAAGATATTGGAATTACTCCAACCCCGTGATCTAGGGTTTGATTGAAACAGGGAACAGTGGCTAACCATCAAATCAACAACAATTCTTCGAGCAGGGATCAAAGGCAAGCCCAATTAAAAACAGCAGCAGCAGAAAAAGAAGAAAGGCGTACCTCTTTGGAATGGTGGAGACACTCGAGGTAATCTTCGCGAAGAAGCGAACAATCCTTGGGCTCTCTGCAGTGAGACATACATTCACTGAAATCCATCCAGAAATCGTAGCATCTCCCTTTGTTTCCCGTTATTCCCCATCCCGACGCCATTTCGAAACCAGCAGATGATGGATGATCGATGGTGTGATGATGATGATGGTGAGTCCGTCAACCCAAACTTTTTTTTTTCCCGATTTGATTTGATTTCAAGGACACGACGAACTGGTTCGGGTTTTTTTTGGTCTCCAATAGATGATCCGAATTATAGTTTTCTATTGGATTTTTGATTAATTAATGGGCCCTGTTACTGGCCTGATTCCCTTTATTGCAAATAAACATGGTTTTCAATCAATTTTTTGATTGCCGGCACTTTTTGCCTTCATGGACCAGTATATAGCGGGAAGCTCTCAAGTGTGGTGGCGCAGCATACACCCGCACCTCAACAGACTTTTGAGACGGAGAGAGAGAGCAGAGAGCAGACGAGTGAGAGAGACTTTGAGACGGAGATGGCGGCGGTTTCTTCACCGGCTTCGTCTTGCAACTCTTCGGAACCCTTTCCGTTGCCCTCGTCGAGCTTCACTTCGCTTCCCGTTGTGGCGATGAAGAGGAGAATCATCGAGAAAATCCTCGAGAATCGCGTCACCCTCATCGTCGGCGACCCGGGCTGCGGTACGTTCGTTCGCTTCGTTTTTTCTCTGTTTCACTACTTCTGTTCCTTAGTCGATTCTGGTTTTTGTTGATTCATTATTCGTTTCTGTCTCATGTATCTTAGGGTAATTTTTAGCTTCGACTGTATGCATTGTCATGAGAAACTGGATATCGGTTTATCTCTTCCGTGCTATGGTTACTCTTCGTTGATTTCCCCATGATTTCCCCACATTTTGTCCTTATTTGCTTCAGGGAAGAGTTCGCAAGTTCCACAATTCCTTGTGGAAGCAAACATGGCACCCATTTTGTGTACACAGCCTAGGAGGTTTGCGGTTGTAGCTGTTGCTAAGATGGTTGCGAAATCTCGCAACTCTGAAGTTGGTGAAGAAATTGGTTACCACATTGGACATTCCAAGATGTTGAGTGAAGGGTACCTATCACACTCTGGATTTTTTTGATCTTCATGAAGCATTACAGGACAGGGCAAACGTAAACTAGTGATATCCTGGCTCTTTCCTCTTCTATGCTAATATTCTTCTCCTGCAGCTCGAAAATTGTGTTCAAAACTGCTGGAGTTCTGTTGGATGAAATGCTAGACAAAGGGTTGAGTGCACTTAAGTACAAGGTTATCATTCTTGATGAAGTCCATGAAAGATCTGTGGAGTCCGACCTTGTTCTTGTCTGTGTTAAGCAGTTTCTCATGAAGAATAATGACCTCAGGTTACAGCCCTTTTCTACTACTACGATGTTGCTCTTTTTAAGATTCTTTAACTTGGTTATGTTTGCTGATGATGAAAGATAAATCACTTTGATACTTCTAAACAAAGTTTTAAAAGTTGATGTGTTTTTGTTTACAGGGTGGTCTTAATGTCTGCAACTGCTGATATTACAAGGTACAGAGACTACTTTAAAGAACTCGGCAGGGGTGAACGGGTAGAAGTGGTTGCTATTCCTAGTCCTGACCAGAGAACAATTTTCCAGAGAAGAGTGTCATATCTTGAGCAGGTTAAACTTTTTGAATATCACACATTGGATCTCTATCAATCCTGGAGATAAACTAACAAGCTTATCGATAAAACTAGAATCCTGTTGTTTCCATTTAGGACTCAAATGAGTAAGCTCAGTTTTAGCGAACTAGAATATTCATGCTTATCATAGTATGCTTACTACTATAAGTAATTTGGAATTTTTTTTTAATAGTTGTGGTACACTACTTAGAATCACGATGTTACATATATGAAAATAACAATTTTTCTGCGTCTATCAGAGTATTTGTGTAAGGACTAAGATGTATCATTTTTGTCCTGGTTTTCTTATTTGATGGCGAGTCTCTTCGTGCTAATTGAATGTGGCTCTGTTTCACGAAGCAGGTTGCAGGATTGCTTGGTGTGAGTTCTGATTTGTCAGCTTACTGTCCTGGTCCAAGTCCTTCAGCTGATACTGAAATCAAACCTGAGCTGCAAAATCTTATTCATGATCTCATCTTATATATTCATGAAAAGGAACCAGACATTGAGAAGAGTATTTTGGTTTTCCTTCCAACATACTACTCACTTGAGCAGCAGTGGTATCAATTGGCACCATTTCACGCATCTTTTGAGGTACACATATTGCACCGAAGCGTTGATACCGAACAAGCCCTGGCGGCTATGAAGATATGCAGATCCCGTCGCAAGGTCTCCCTTTTAACTTTCCATGTTTCTTCTTCTGTGCATTATCTTTTAGACCTGCAGGTGGGAAGATCTTAATTTAAGAGTGACGCAAACACTTAATACTTTCAAATGTAGGCTGTTGAACATCTTGTGGGTTCAGGCATCATTTTGTTAAGCATATGGGTTGATGACGCTCGCTAGTGTAGTTTTTTAATTGATGAGATGATAAAATTTACTTACATTTCAGCTTACCTAATATGTAAAATGTTGCTGTACTTTTTAGCGTAGAGGACTTATCATGTTTTGGGGAAACATCAAACTCATATTGATGCAAATTCGGATTCCATCATTTGCAACTACCATTTTGTGGTATCGATGATTCAATAGTTAATATAACTTTCATAAACTATTATTCTCAGGTAATATTGGCTACAAATATTGCGGAATCTTCAGTGACGATACCCAAAGTAGCCTATGTCATCGACTCGTGCCGGTCTCTGGAAGTGTTCTGGGATGCATCCAGGAAAAGAGATGCAGTGCAGCTTGTTTGGGTCTCCAAATCTCAGGTATTCCTGGAATTTACCATTTATGGAACAAAAGCGGGTGTCCTAAAATTTAGTTTTTTATGTGGAGTTATAGGCTGAGCAACGTAGAGGGAGGACAGGTCGAACATGTGATGGTGAGGTGTATCGCCTGGTGCCGAGTGCGTTCTTCAACAAGCTTGAAGAGCATGAGCCCCCAGCTATACTTAAGCTGTCATTGAGACAACAAGTTCTCCATATTTGTTGCACCGAATCCAGAGCTATTAATGACGCAAACGGTAATAATGTTAGGATTTGTATAGAGAATGCTTCACTTCTTTCATTTTTAAAAAAATGGACTGAAACTAAAAGACAGTATCTATAACGTTTTTGCGTCTGTCTAATCAATCTACGTTGATTGAAATTGTTCTCTACAACTTAGCGTTGCTGGCAAAAGCTATGGATCCACCAAACCCAGGCGTCATTGATGATGCTTTGAGTATGCTGTTAAGCATACAAGCATTGCGGAAATCGCCTAGGGGACGCTACGAGCCCACATTTTATGGACGGTTGCTTGCTAGCTTCCCATTGTCCTTTGATGCATCCATTCTCGTCGTCAAGTTTGGTGAAATGGGAATGCTAAGAGAAGGGATTCTGTTAGGTGTCATGATGGATACCCAACCGCTTCCTATCAATCGTCCTTTTGGAGATGATTCACTGGTATTTCCTCTCGGGTGAATATTTCTGCAATTCTGCATGCCTTTTTTGATCATGATGTGAAAAATGTAATGCTATGTCTCCTTTTGCAGTTTCTGGAGTATGTGGACCACTATTTCGGCGGTGATAGCAGCAAGACCATTTCTGGTGGCCGAAGGGAGGTGGTACTCATGGCAAACCTCTGTGCTTTTCAGTTCTGGCAGCGTGTCTTTAAGGTAATTAAATAGTTTCGTCATATTCTCAAGTATAACTAACTTTTTTTTTTCTTGGTCTTACCAATGTTTCTCTCCTTGAAGGATAAGCATCGTCTTGAAAACCTGAAACAACTTTTGTCTAAGGAGAGAGA